CAATAATGCTATTAAATCGTATCACAAAGGCTGAGTCTGAGATGGTTTGCACCAGACATTTTTTTAAAATTTATTGTATGCTAGATAAATATCAAATAGTTTAAATTTTATTGTAGGCCTACTTTTATCTAAAATATTTATCTTTGTTGTAATGTTTAAAGTATTTTACCTATGATATGTCTTTCATGATAATGTATAAAATATTCTAAAATATATTGTTGTATATTTATGGATTTGATATTTTGGTCATAGAAAATTTGTTTTTTACTACATTTCTTACAGCACTAATAGATTGTTACCCTATTCAAACGAATTTTTTTTTTTTAAATTTCTTAACTATGGTAGCCCTATGTGACAACAACTATCGGTTTTCAGTATAATGGAAATAGCTCAATCAAATCATTTTTTTTAAATTACAGCTCAGAGTTACGTTCCTGCAAATTTTACTTTACGATTTAATGAGACGTACATTAGCCAATACTCTGACAAGTCTTCAGAAGAGTTTAAGAGCAAATCCAACGCCTACTTGCAACAGGTCAGATATTTTACTTTCCTTTTAAACACCACATCAGCACATCGCACCACTTCCCTTTAATATCTCCACAGTTTGAGTTAGACATCACTCACGTGACTCAACTTGAGAGTTATTGATATTGATCTTGTTTTTTGTTCAACAGCTGAACGATGCCTACAAGAAGGCAAGCGTCACGTATAATAACATTACAATCAATAATTTACTGTAAGTAACATCACTATCAATAATTTACTGTAAAATTACAATCGATAATTTACTGTAACATCACTATTAATAAATTACTTTAAACACCGTTTAATAATTTTAAAAATAAAAATATTTACTACAACATAGCATTTATGTAGGCCTAGATAATTGTGACAGCACTATCAATAAACTACCGTCAGTAGCAACTGTGTCAACAATTTAATACAAGTAACATCACTACCAATAAAGTATTCTAAGTCACATCACAGTCACGTATTTACAGTTAGTAACTTAGGTATAATTTTATTTATTTTTATTTTCTTCCATTGCCTCCCTTGTTTACCTTGACCTTGTAACGACCCTAGGTCCGGCAGTATCATCGTGGACTACAGCATCTCGCTGGATGTCAAGGCCATCGTGAGTAACACCACAGCTGTGGAGCTCACGCTGAGCAAGTCACGTGACTTTCTGGCTGACCTTCCATACATAGACGAGACGTACCTGAACATCTCGTACAACACGGATATGGTGAAAGGTGAGGGTGGCATATACTGTGTGGGTGGCTTATGTTATGTAAGGCATAATGTGGGTGGTGGAACATATTACATAAGGCATAATGTGGGGGCGGCATATGTTATGTATGATAATATGTGGTGGGGGTTGGCACTGATTATGTTAGACAAGATTACAATCAGAGTTTCTTCCAGGCATCTCTTCGTAGAAAAAAAGTCTGGAAGAAACACTGATAACAAGAAACTACCCCCATCCTATTTTTTGTGGCAGCAGGTCCTTGTTTCTCAACTTAAGGGACATAACTCGTGTATTAAGGCGATTTGTTTTTTTATTATTGGGTTATCGCCTGTTGAAAAACTTACTTGGGTTAATGTAAAATCCTGGGAGTAACAGTAAATATTGCTTATGCAATCAAAGCATGACTGACGGTATATATAAAAAAAATACAGGCTACTCTTTCAATCTTATAACGATAGATTTAAACGCTAGGCTTGTGAGGGTGTTTTCTGCTTGATCTGGGATGAAGATCTCACAGCTTAACACACATTTGGTCTCACGTGATACTTTACGATTTCTTCATCGCCAAAAATAGAATAATTGCTTCTAAAACAAAACGAAAATATCAGAAAGTGGATTGTAACGTTACCTAGTACTTATAAATTATTGTTATCACGTTGATTAGGATCCTAGTGTTTAAATAAAATAATAAATGCTTTGTCCAAGTGAGCTTAAAACAATATGATGACGTCCCTCCGACTCTACAACCCCCCCCCTCCCCCAACTTATCCACTCATTCCAAGCGATATATTCTCGTCCGTGCTTTGAAGTACAATGTAAAGTAAACTTCATACTTTATTACTTTAATAGTAATATTGGCACATTTGTTGTATGACTCATCTAACCTTAGCATCATCTGACTCTTGTGTCATTTGACTTTTGTGTCACCTGATCCTAACGTCATCTGACCCTAGCGTCATCTAACGCTAACGTCATCTGACCCTAGCGTCATCTAACGCTAACGTCATCTGACCCTAGCGTCATCTAACGCTAACGTCATCTGACCCTAGCGTCATCTAACGCTAACGTCATCTGACCCTAGCGTCATCTAACGCTAACGTCATCTGACGCTAGCGTCATCTGACTCTTGTGTCATCTGACTCTTGTGTCATTTGACTCTAGCGTCACCTGACTCTAGCGTCACCTGTCGCTAGCGTCACCTGACTCTAGCGTCACCTGTCGCTAGCGTCATCTGACTCTAGCGTCACCTGTCGCTAGCGTCATCTGACTCTAGCGTCACCTGACTCTAGCGTCACCTGTCGCTAGCGTCATCTGACTCTAGCGTCACCCTACTCTTGTGTCACTGACTCTTACAGTTCTGAACACCATCAAATCTGTGCAAGCTGACCCCTGTCTGGCCACCCAGGTATGTCCCCCCGGCTACTATTGTTCCAGCCTGTCGCAGACCTGCAGACACAAGTGCCGTGACATCTCATGTCCAGTTAACGGGCAATGTTACCTCACCCCACAGGACCAGCCGAGCTGCAGGTCAGTCGATACATACAGACACATTGTTTCATTCATTGTTTAATTAACCACATAAACAGATAAAATTGTTTAATTTACCACATACACATATAAAATTGTTTAATTAAACACATACACAGACGAATTGTTTAGTTAACCACATATACAGACAAATTGTTTAATTAAACACATACAAAGACAAATTGTTTAGTTAACCACATATACAGACAAATTGTTTAATTAAACACACACAAAGACAAATTGTTTAATTAACCACATATACAGACAAATTGTTTAATTTACTACATATACAGACAACCTTTTTCCCACGTTTTCTTTAACTTGCTTTCTCTGTGTCTGTGTTTCTGTGTTTGTTTCAATTTACCACATGCACAGACAAATTGGTTTTAGTAAGATTTTTGGTTTTTAGGGAGACTTTTGATTTTGAGGGAGACTTTTGATTTTAGTGAGATTTTTTTTTTATTTTAGGAATACTTTTGGTTCTAGGTAGACTTTTGATTTCGGGAGATTTTTTTTATTTTAGGAAGACTTTTGATTTTGAGGGAGACTTTTGGTTTTAGGATACAAATGATAACCTTTGGATGAAGTAGACGTTTACATTACATACTGAAACTTACCAATCCTTATTCATAGATTGATGTTTTACACTTAACTAACTACCCTTGATATAACGCACTCACCAACGTAAATCTCTCAGTCCTTAGGGGTCGACACATCTGACCCCTGTCTGACCCCAGTCCACACATCTGACCCCTTTTCTGACCCCAGTTCACACATCTGACCCCCGTCTTACCCTTGTCCACACATCCGACCCCATTTCTACACATCTGACCCCTCTCCACACACCTGACCCTCGTCTTAACATCTGACCCTTGTCTTAACATCTGACTCCTGTCTGAACCATCTCCAAAAGTCTGACCCTGTCCACCTGTCCACAAGTATGACCCCTGTCTGACCCCTGTACGACCCCTGTACACAGGTCTGACCTCTGTCCACAAGTCTGACCCATTTCTGACCCCTGTCCACAAGTCCACACATCTCACCCCTGTCTACACATCTGACCCCTGTCCACACATCTGACCCCTGTCCACACATCTGACCCCTGTCCACACATCTGACCCCTGTCCACACATTTGACCCCTGTCCACCCATCTGACCCCTGTCCACTCCGTCCCCAGGTGTCTGGTTGAGGGCAGCTACGTGTACGGAGGTCCGACCTGCAGCGTGGTGGCCGAGAAGCTGAGTCTGGGCTCCAGTGAGATCATTGCTGTAGCTGTCAGTGTAGGGGGCGCTGTCATCATCCTCGTCATCATCCTCACTGTCTTCATCATGTACAAGAGGAACAGGAGGTGGGTTGTTTAGCTAAGAGATGGGAGGTGGGGGGTGGGTTGTGTCTAGGTCAGAGGTGGGTTATCTGGGTCAGAGGTGGGATGTCTGGGTCAGTTTGTGGGGGTGGGTTGTCTGGGTCAAAGGTGGGGGTGGGAGATGGGTTGTCAGGGTCAGAGGGGGGGGGGTGGGAGGTGGGTTGTCTGGGTCGGAGGTGGGGGGTGGGAGGTGGGTTGTCTGGGTCGGAGGTGGGGGTGGGAGGTGGGTTGTCTGGGTCGGAGGTGGGGGTGGGAGGTGGGTTGTCTGGGTCGGAGGTGGGAGGTGGGTTGTTGTCTAATTCAGAGGAGGGGTGGGAGGTGGGTGTCTAGTCTAGATCAGAAGTGAGAGGTGGGTCTTTGTCTAGGTCAGAGTTCGAATCAGAGGTAAACGTGCTTGGTTTTGTATTTAAAAAAAATAGTACATCACTTTTACTCGATAATTTGTCACGAGCTAGTTAGTAATGTTTCAGCTTATTTAAGGTCATCTAGTCTGCCGTATGTTCTATAAACTGGACTATCCAAGCAAGTATTAATCATGCCGGTACAAATCTTACTGTGGAGATGTATTGTACAAAAACCTAGCCGTAGTTTCCACCTGTGTATTTTACCTGTATAAGGAACTAGCTGTAAACATTAGTGTGTAATTAAATGCAGTTGGCAAATATATTTACCTAATTAAAAGATGTTCCCATCAAAACAAAATTAATTAATTAGACGCGATTACAATGTTTTATTTGTTAAATATTTTATCGCAGTGACACCGATGATTATTTAACGGATTTATGTTACATAATGTAACACCGACATATTTGTTGCATAACTGTTTTATCGTTGTACCACTGACCTATTTGTTGCAGGAGTGACCTTTCGACCAGCGAGGATGACCGTTTCGTCGAACGGACCACAGAGTTCCGCGACTCGCCGCTCAGGGGGCAGCACTTGTCTGGCACCGAGCGAGGGGACTTTGACTTCTCCCCCAGCAAGTTCCACATCCCCACCGCCAGCGTCTACACCCACCCCATCCCTGCCTACGTCAGAGACCTCCCGTCCCAGGAGTCTTTCCGGTACCCGTCGGGCAGGTTCCCCACGGGGTACGTTCACGGTCAAAGACTGGACAGGAATTCTGGGAGATCTTTCGATGAACCTGGTCCGTCTTTTGCACAAGCTAGGCCAAGGGCGTATAACCCAAGGTCAAGGTGGCCGGACAGATCATCGACCTGGAGCGACGACTGACCAACGACTGACCAACGACTGACGAACAACTGACGAACAACTGACCAACAACTGACCAACGACTGACCAACGACTGACCAGTCGCATGAATAGCCTGCCTTATGTTAAGTCAACGATGCCTTATTGTTCATATGTTGTTGTTTTTTTCGAATTTTTGTTTTTTATAAATTTTGTTTTTGCCATGTTTTATATCCAATATAAATTATAAATTACACTTTGATATGGGCTCTCGTCAACAGCAGAAATATCATGACCGAGTCCAATTGTAAATAATATCATTATGATTTTTATATACAAACTTCCTGGTGAATCCCATTGCTCAAAACGATCCTTTTTTTCTAAATATACATTTATTTTTATTTTTTTTCTGTTTTACAACTGACATTCCAAAATATCTGTAAAATAACCCTAACAGTTGCAACATTTTAAAGATTAATATGTAATATGTATTTAAACTTTGATGTTTACAAAAAAAAAATATAATAATTTTTTTGTGAAACCGTGTTTACAAAGCTTCAGGAAATCCATACTTCTTTTATTTATACCGAGACTCCTATTTCTATTCTCATTCCAATTTAGCTTTCATGTTTTATGAGAAATAATAATTGCTGTTATCATTGAAGAAACATGTACTCTCTATGCAGATGCCGTTCTTCCGTGTTGGGTCACGTGATCTGGTGCTTCCCACCCCACCCCTTCGTTTACTTACACCTGTTGATTGTATGTTGATTATGTTCATGTATGCATATGTTGATCTCTGGTGATATGTATTACAAAATCAAAAGTGGGTCAAGTTATTTAAAGATGTTTTTCTCATTCCAGTAGTGATGCATAAAATGATGTTACCACATTCATTTAACATGTAATGACATCATGATGTTACCGCATTCATTTAACATGTAATTACATTACGATGTTACCACATTCATTCATCTCATTTCCCCCACTAACCTTAAAAACATCATGAACCTTAAGAATGTTCTACTGCATTCATCACACAACTCATGATATTGAATGAGTCACTCATCACATTTTCTCTTAAAACATTCAACCACGTTGTGATGTTTTGATGTTTTTTTCGTATTCCCACTCAACATAAAACATCTGGATGTTGCGCAGGTTGTATTTTACAGGTTCATTCTACAATGTTATGTTGTGTAAATATAGGTTTTGCCTACTTTTATATTTGATTAAACCCTGATTACACATTATACTGTGTATATCTGCTTTTATAAAATGTGACCAAATCCCGATTACACACTGTACTGTAACTATCTACTCATATAATGTGATCAAACCTTGACTTGAGACTAAGTGTGTCCATCTTCTCATATATACAAGTATAATGCAATGATTTTGTTACTATTTTACTATTTCTGCTGTAGTACACTTACCCGTACAAGTTTCTTTCAGCCTATGATGTATGTGTACATTCCCTTCACTATCATGTAATTTTATACAAGTTTGAATAAGACTGAGCAGTTGAATGAAATTATAAATCTTCGTTAATATAAAATATTATTTAAATTAAATAATCCAAACTACATAACTAATCCCTTCATAATATGCATATTACTAACCTATTTTTTTTCAATCACGATTTATAATGTTATTTTTTAACTGTTGAAATATCATTACTTTAAAATGATGCTATATTACTTTTACTTTGTTAGAATACTGCTACATATCGTTTTACACATTTTTATTGGCATATTTGTGTACTGATTTTAGTATTTAAATATACATTTTTAGTTTTTATACACAAATCTATCAAATCCAACTATTGAATGCCACATTTTATAAATCTATTTTACCAAAATTTAATTTGTGCCATTGATTAAGTCTGTCTCGCTATAATTTTGTTATTTAATTAGAAACACTGTTAAAATACTTTCATATTACTTTTGGTGTGTATATTTTTAGCTGCAATGCTGTTATATGTTATTTATAAAACAAAATATTAATTTTATATAAAGACTTTACTCAAGTATTTATTGAAATAAATTTAGTTGACATTAATTGAACTAATTGTGAAGCTCTTCAATTACAGCTACACGATAGGTCCCACACATTCAGATTTGAGACCAGTTTATACCACGATCAGTTTAAGTTTTGTATTATTATAAGAGAGCAAACTTTGTTTTAAAATGTTTTTGTAAGTAGTTTTAGAACACATCCCGACAAGTAACGGTATCAGCTATTTGGCCGGAGATTAGTATGTCCATATAAGGCGGTTAGTCACTTTTAAGCCAGATGTGAACTTAAACATGGTTAGTGGAGCCAGTGGGACCCGAACCTGTTGTTATATAGCTAATAGAGTGAGTTGATGAATCTTAAAACTGATAAAAAAAATATGTATGTGAATTATAAGATTAATTTCTGATAGCAAGTCTAAAAGTATGATGGTCGATCTTAAAGTCTGAAGGCGAATCTATATCCTACAATCACTCAATCAATCAATCAATCAATCAAGTATAGGCATACTTTACCTATGCCACATCTGGGCACACTACATCAGCAGAGGCGACAACTAAAATATTGAAGGAACTCGTCTAGAGTAGTGACGTAATGAGAGGACTATTTCAATCCTATTGAATACTGTGACGTGGCCTAGATGTTCATAGCGAAAGCGTGTAGGCACGGAGAGATTGGGTGTGAGAGTGGCCTCCCCTAACAAGTGTGTGAACTCGAGTGTGTAAGCAGTGTGTGGTATCGTCAACTTAGGGTAGCATGTAGTCAGTGTTTTCGGCAATGTTCACTGTTTCTCTGTTGTATTTGAAAATTATATTGGATTATTACATTTGAACTGTGTTTTAAAATTGTGTTATACCTTGTTCCACTATGAAATGGAAAGCTAAGCATAACAAGTGAGGGCTTAAGTCCGGGATTTGAACACAACAAGATTTTTGAGAAGTTTTACCCCTAGACAAAAAGGAAAATATCCAGTATCAACAGCAGCGTTAGAGCCGACATGAAAATATCGAGTGTCAACAGCAGCGTCACAACCGACTAGAAACTTTCTAGTATTAACGGCAGCGTTACAGCCGACTAGAAAACATCTAGTATTAACGGCATCGTTACAGCCGACTGGAAAGTGTCTAGTATTAACGGCATCGTTACAGCCGACTGGGAAGTGTCTAGTATCAACGGCAGCGTCACAACCGACTGGAAAATTTCTAGTATCAACGGCAGTGTCACAACCGACGGGAAAATTTCTAGTATTAACGGCATCGTTACAGCCGACTAGAAACTATCTAGTATTAACGGCATCGTTACAGCCGACTGGAAAGTGTCTGGTATCAACGGCAGCGTCACAACCGACGGGAAAATTTCTAGTATTAACGGCATCGTTACAGCCGACTAGAAACTATCTAGTATTAACGGCATCGTTACAGCCGACTGGAAAGTGTCTGGTATCAACGGCAGTGTCACAACCGACGGGAAAATTTCTAGTATTAACGGCATCGTTACAGCCGACTAGAAACTATCTAGTATTAACGGCAGCGTTACAGCCGACTAGAAACTATCTCGTATCAACGGCATCGTTACAGCCGACTAGAAAACATCTAGTATTAACGGCAGCAGTCATCGCCGACGTGAAAAGACTTCGTATCAACAGCCACAAAACTTGTGAACAGTGCTGCAGACATCATGGCCATAAATAATGACATTAAAAATACAGTGATAAAGCTAGGAGAGAAGTTGAGAGAACTTGCTAGCTACAAAGTGGACTGCATTAGCATAGCAAGTAAGTTATCAAATTTTAGAGCTACAATATTAGCATCTCAGTCCTTGATCACATCAGAAGCAAATCATTGCGTCGCCACCAACATGAAAGCTCTAGCTACTGTCCCACTTACAGAAGACCTAATCAACCAGAGACGCAATCTAGGCAACAAGTCAACAGAGTGGAGAACTAGGTCAAGGGCAGCTGAGCAGAAGGTAACTTTAATCCAGTATCAAGTTCATAGTCTTTTTAAAGATACTAATGAGACTTTAATTATAGTTAAAGACTGTGATGTCAAGATAGCAGGATCGAAACAAAAATGTTTGGACGCCAGAGCTGAGCAGAAGAGCCAGAGCCAACATCAGTGCCAGAGCCAGTGCCAGAGCCAGTGCCAGAGCCAGTGCCAGAGCCAGAGCCACAACCAGAGCCAGAGCCAAAACCAGAGCCAGAGCCAAAACCAGAGCCAGAGCCACAACCAGAGCCAGAGCCAAAACCAGAGCCAGAGCCGAAACCAGAGCCAGAGCCAAAGCCAGAGCCGGAGCTAAAACCAGAGCCAAAACCAGAGCCAGAGCCAAAGCCAGAGCCAAAACCCAGAGCCAGAGCGAGAGCCAGAGCCAAAGCCAGAGCGAGATCCAGATCGACATCCAGAGCCAAAGACTGTACCAAAATTAGAGTGGTGTACGAACTTGTATTATATGAATAGCTTCTAGTTTTCATTGTCATCATTGACTAGATTTATTTCAACATATCTCACTTCATAAAACGAAAGGGAAGTAACATTGTTCTGATGTATTGTAATTCAATTCAAATGCTTTATTGATGACAAATGTTTTTTTTTTTTAAAAAAAAAAACCTTGTTGACTTATAGACTAGACGTATAAAGCTATAAGTAGTTAATTCATGCGTACGTCCAACATTTTACTGTAGATATATAATTTTTACTCGCCATCATTTATTTATAGGGAGATTTAAAGCATGTAAAAGGTCAGATAAATATTTTGTTAAAATTTTTACTGTACATGTTAAGTAGTTGTGCAGGATAGACCTTAGAAATGCTGTTTAATTTAAAGAAAAATAAGAAACCTCTTTTTTTTAGGGGGGAGGTGTGACGTGGCCTAGATGTTCATAGCGAAAGCGTGTAGGCACGGAGAGATTGGGTGTGAGAGTGGCCTCCCCTAACAAGGGTGTGAACTCTAGTGTGTAAGCAGTGTGTGGTATCGTCAGCTTAGGGTAGCATGTAGTCAGTGTTTTCGTGAATGTTCACTGTTTCTCTGTTGTATTTGGAAAATTATATTGGATTATTACATTTGAACTGTGTTTTAAATTGTGTTATACCTTGTTCCACTATGAAATGGAAAGCTAAGCATAACAAATACACTTTAAAATTTAAGCTATTCATCGTTTTAATGAAACTAAAAGCAAAAACATTTTTCAGCGATGAAAGGGAAATTATATAGCTTCTCTTTTTAATTTCCCAAATTAGCTCTCTTTGAATTTCAATGTTACGAGAAAAAAAAAATATATGGTCAAAGGGGAACAATCATGTAAAAAGTTCACCTCGTAGTTAAGCTATGGTTATCTCGCTTTAACTTTTTTAAAAATAATAATAATTTTATTTATTAATATATATGTTTATTTGTAATTGTTAAAATGGATAAATAATAAGCCTTTTCAGCGTACAAATTTTTAATTTATAACATACATATTGCCAACAAATAAAAAAATGTGTACTAAAAAATAGATTTAATATTTTAATTTAATACATAAATGGAAGAACTATTTTAATCCTATTGAATACACTTTAAATTTTCTACTATTCATGCTTTTAATTAAGCAAAAAGGAAAAACATCTTTCAGCGATGAAAGGGAAATTATATAGCCTCTCTTTTTAATTTCCCATGTTATCTCTCTTTAAATTTCAATGTAACAAGAAAAAAATTAAAAATGTATGGTCAAAGGGAAGCAATCATGAAGAAGGTTTACCTCGTACTTGAACATTGGTTATCTCACTTCAACGTATTAAAAAAATAATAACTCTATTTATTGATATTTATATGTATTATCTTGTATTAGTATTAAAATGGACCAATGTTAAGACGTTTAACACTGTACACATTTATAATACATAACATACATATTGCCAACAAATTAGAAAATTTTGTACAAAAAAACATATTTATAAAATTTAATTTGAAAACAGAAATATGAGAACTATTTTAATACTATTGAATACACTTCAAATTTTATACTATTCATGGTTTTAGTGAAGCTAACAGGAAAACATTGTCCAGCGCTCTTTAAATTTCAATGTTACGAGAAAAAAATAACAAATTTATGGTCAAAGGGGAACAATCATGAAAAAGGTTCACCTCGTAGTTAAGCCATGCTTATCTCGCTTTAACTTTTTTAAAAATAATAATAATTTTATGTATTAATATTTATGTTAATTTTAATTTTTAAAATTGATAAATAATAAGCCTTTTAAGCGTAAAAATGTAAAATTAATAACATAAATTTTGCCAACCAATAAAAAAATTTGGAATAAAAAATATATTTAAAATTTTAATTTAATACATAAATGTAAGAACTATTTTAATACGATAGATTACACTTTAAATTTTATAATATTATTGGTTTTAATTAAGCAAAAAGGAAAAACATCTTTCAACGATGAAAGGGAAATTATATAGCCTCTCTTTTTAATTTCCCAAGTTATCTTTCTTTGAATTTCAATGTAACAAGAAAATATTTAAAATGTATGGTCAAAGGGAAACAATCATGAAAAAGTTTCACCTCGTAGTTGATCATTGGTTATCTCGCTTCGGCATATTCAACAAAAAAAATCTGTTTATTCATATTAATATGTATTATCGTATTAAAATGGGCAAATATTAAGAGTTAACAATGTACACATTTATATTACATAACATACATATTGCCTACAAATTAGAAAATTTTGTACAAAAAAAAATATTTATAAAATTTAATTTGAAAACAGAAATATGAGAACTATTTTAATACTATTGAATACACTTCAAATTTTATACTATTCATGGTTTTAATGAAGCTAACAGGAAAACATTGTTCAGCGCTGAAACGAAAATTATATTTTATATAGCATCTCTTTGTAATTTTCAAGTTAGCTCTCTTGAAATTTCGATGTTACAAGAAAAAATAACAAATTTTTGGTCAATGGGGAACAATCATGAAAAAGGTTCACCTCGTAGTTAAGCCATGGTTATCATCGCTTTAACTTTTTTTAATGTAAATTTTATTTATTAATATTTATGTTTTAAACATTTGTAAGTTTTAAAAATTGATAAATAATAATATATATTTCCAACAAACAAACACATTAATTTAAATCAGAAATGTGATAAATTTTTGAATCCTATTGAATAATTAAGCTAAAAGGAAAAAACATTTCCAGCGCTAAAATGGAAATTATTTAACACGAGCCCACCCGCGGCGTATCATAGGCCACTGAAAATATTTACTTTAAAACACTATCAGTAAGTCGTTAACGACGATAACCGCTCCCCCCCCCCCCCCCCCGTGTAAGCAGCCTCCCCTAAGTTTAAAATGGTTTCAAACTAAATTATCTGCCCCTAATAGCCGTCACTAAACCCGGCTCTACGATTGTAAACAATTAGCGTGAACCACAGCTCACCAGACTTCCTAGAGAGGAAGAAAGGGGACTGCAAGGCGCGATTACAGCTTGTTTTCTAACGTCTCCAAGAAGAGAATTATATATAGAGAGAGATTTCTTTTTAGTTTCTTTGAATTTCAATGTAACAAGAAAAAAATAAAATAAAATTATGGTCAAAGGGGAACAATCATCAAAAAGGTTCACCTCTTAGTTTAGCCATGGTAACCTCGCTTGAATTTATTAAAAAAAATAATAACTACATTCATTACTATTAATATTTATTTACATTTATTGGTATTAAAATGTATAGAAATCAATTCTTGTTTAAATAAACCGAGAGTGATCTCTCCTAAGCTTTCTCGAATCTATATATATAATTCTTTTCTTGGAGACGCTAGAAAACAAGCTGTTAGCGCGTTCCCTACATGGTCTGGTGAGCTGTGGTTCACGCTTAATGTTTACAATTGTAGAGCCGGGTTTAGTGATGGTTATTAGGGGCAGATAATATAGTTTGAAACGAGTTTTAACTTAGGGGAGGTAACTAAGAGGAGGCTGCTTTCGCGGGGGGGTGTAGGGTAGGGGTTGGGGGAAGAAGGGTGGGGATAGTATCGTTCTTAACGACCTACTGATAGTGTTTTAAAACAAACATTTTCAGTGGCAGCATTGGTACTGTCGAATTCACAAATTATGAATTACTGAAAAGTAGAAAATAAAACAACTAAATAGCGGCGTGTGAAATGCCGCGGGTCTGCTCGTATTCTTATATAACACTACGGGGAATGGTAACTCGGTATATGGACATGATTTTTAATCAATATTTAATTGTTTAAAACTTTTTAAAATAGAATATGAATCTCGTAGAAAAAAGAATTGCACACCAAGTGAACGTCCAATGACATGTGTAATAGTGCGGAATACTAGTACTTTAAAAATTCAAATTCGTTTTTTGAGCTATCGGAAATAGGGTAACTTTCTCCTTTTGTTCAACGGAAATTACTCAAAATTTGATAGAAGGTAGAAGATTAGATCTTTTACTTATATGTGACATTTTGTTTATCTATCTGAAACAATACTCAAGTTTTGAAAAACCAAAAGTAGAATAAGTTGCAATTCCTGTTACCGGAAATCGCTGGAAAGTTGATACAGAACTACAAATTTGACATAATACTTAAAAATGAAATTTGATCAACCTAGCTGTAACGGTACTCAAGTTATCGTGTTCACAGACACACGTACACACACAAACACACGGACAGAATTCAAAAGCCCTGTTTTTCCGACTCAATTACGCGTAAAACATAAACACAAACGCTAACACAAAGATAAACATAAACACAAACCTAAACGCAAACAATACCGTAGAACATAAACTTAAATGCAAACATAAAAGCGGAGTTTCACAGTATAGCCCGGGGCGCTAGATCGCATCCTGCCACCGGTGGTACCTGAGTCAACTTATTAAATGACTAAAATACTCCATTATTATCCATAAGCTATCGAATAGTTTAAACCGAACGTCGGCGCCATAGCGTTCACGGGAATGCCCAGGGCGCCGAATAGCACCCTTTGTAGCGCCCGATGATGCCCGCTTTCGATATAGTTAAGGACTAGGGTAACCCTATCCATAATCTATCACACTGTTTAAAACGAACTTAGGCGCCATAGCACTCACGGGAAGGCCCGGCGCACGAAATCGCAACCAGAAGACGCCCTTGATTCGATTTAGTGTACCAATATATTAACACTTTTTATTCACAGACTGTCGCATTTGTTAAAATAACGTTTGCACCATTGCGCTCACAGAATAGCCCAGGGCGCCAAACCAAGCCCTGTCGGGGCGCCGGTGGACACGCCTGATTCAATTTAGTGAAGGACTATAATACCCCAAGTGAACGGAAAGGTAGAAATAAACTTATACCATCAGACTTATACCATCACACTTATACGATCACACCTATACAATTACACTTATACCATCAAACACTTATCATCACACTTATACCATCACACTTATACCATCACACGTATACCATCACACTTATGCCAGCACACGTATACCATTACACGTATACCATGACATTTATACCATTAAAATTATACCATGACACTTAAACCATCACACTTATACCATCACACTTATACCATCACACTTATAACATCACACTTATAACATCACACTTAGGCCTATAGCAATAAACATACACCACCTCCGTCTTTACGTGTAGGATGTAATATTATTATTCAATAGCTATTTCGACACTCCGTATGTCGTCAATACACAGTAAGATCAGCACTTTGCACATCATCAATATACACCAAGATCTGCACTTTGCATATTATCAATATACACCAAGATCTGCACTTTGCATATTATCAATATACACCAAGATCTGCACTTTGCATATTATCAATATACACCAAGATCTGCACTTTGCATATTATCAATATACACCAAGATCTGCACTTTGCATATTATCAATATACACCAAGATCTGCACTTTGCATATTATCAATATACACCAAGATCTGCACTTTGCATATTATCAATATACACCAAGATCTGCACTTTGCACATCATCAATATACACCAAGATCTGCACTTTGCATATTATCAATATACACCAAGATCTGCACTTTGCATATTATCAATATACACCAAGATCTGCACTTTGCATGATATCAAATTACAGCAAGATCAGTAGTCTACTCCA